AAACCTATAACATAATCATGCCAAGAAATACGCAAACTCTAAGGAACTATTTAAACATTCTATTTTAAAAACTATTACCTCGTAGACGATAGGCTACACTTAAATTCTGCACAAATGGATAGACCAAAAGGCCTTCTGTTGGTGTCGTGCAAAAGCCAATCAGCAATAACAGATTCTTATGAACAGCTACACTTATCATCTCAACATCACGTTGGAAAGCTGCATCTTCACTAGGACTTTCAAAATCAGTTAATCGTTTAACAGCTACTTTTGTGCTATCAGCAAGAACTCCTTTATAAACCTTTCCGAAACCACCCTGTCCAAGGATATTCTTTTCACTGAAATTGTCTGTAGCCAACTGTAATTCCCTCCATGCAAACCTTTTCAGTTGACCAAAAGTAATTCTTCTGTCAACTTCACCTAAGCATACAATTTAAAAAAGAGTTCAAAACAAAACATCATGGCAAAAGTGCATATTAATCTTTTAGCTGCAATATCCAAGACAGACAAATTTATGGGTAGACAATCATGCGCAAAATAGACGTGTTTCAAATTGCAATTATTAGTGCAATCTTGAGTAATAATAATTTTAAATTCAAAAATCTCGTTTGTTTCTGTAAGCCATTGTGTGTTTTCAGAGTGGCTAGTGACTAATTTTCTCCAGTTGCTAAGCCAAAAGCAATCTTACTTTCATATAAAATCCAAAGTTTTAAAATTAGACCAATGAGACAATGGCATACTTTACAATGCATGTCACCATCCACATGATGAGTTGAGGATCAACTTCAAATAGCATCTCAAGGTTACAAGAAGGTTACAAAAGGCACCCTATAACCACAAATCACCAAATTATATTTATCATTTTAACTGCAAGGAAATTTGTGCCACTTGTACAAATTTAAGTAAAACCTTGCTCATAGCATAAATCACTCAACCTACATAAAACTCATTGGACCTAGAAGTGCCAAGCAAACAAGAGAAAATGAAAATGAGAGAGAAAATTGTTAGGAAAATGATAGAATTATTTTTTCAAAGAGTTTTGACCAAGTGAAAAGTAATACAAACCAGCAACATCCACAAATACTTCGCGCTTGTAGCCTTTCCGTCTACCCCTCCATAGGAAGAATAGTAAGCTACCCAAAAGAACAAGAATTTCAAGTCCAACAGTTCCAACAATAATTCCAATCCTGGGCTTTCGAGAACCACCTACCAGCAAAGAGAAACTCTAGCAATTAGCTGGTCAAAAGAGCAATGAAACTTCAGCTATACCTTAGAAAGCATTGAACATCATAAAAAAAAGAAGTAACATAAGGCCAAGTTAGTTAATCCAATTACCTGAATCATTCACAGATACACAGGGGTGTAAAGAATTTTCAACACAATTTAAGCTGTTTCCTGTGAAACTGAACCAAACAAACTCATTGCATGTAGAGAAACATAAGAAAGAAATGGGAAACATACAGAAGCATATATGAAGTGAGCAATTTTTGTGTAACCAGCTAGATCATTAAAACTAATAGCAATCAAAAGTTAGCCATACTTGTATTGTGGAATTTGGAAAAGATGATCAGAAATTTGACCACTGAGATCATTTGAATCAAGCTGGCCGCAAAGACAATTTCAATTACATTGTCAAAAACTTAAACAGCGTCAAGGACAGACACTGCAGAAGGCTGGAGCAATTTACTCACAGTTCTACTAAAAGTCAAGTAATAGATATTTAAACAAGTTTACTAGAAATTAATAAAATATTATGACTTACAGATTGATCAAGTTTGGAAGACCAGAAAGTGACTGAGGGATTGCCTCAGTAAGATTGTTTTGACTTAACGTACTGCTTGCATAGGGTAAAAAAGAACACCCTTTCATGAATATTGAAAGAGGAAACAGGAAAAAAAAGTTACAAAAACATACTTCAGAATCTAAGAACACTATTACTTACAAGAACTGAAGCTTTTGAAGGTTACCAAGGGAAGGTGGTATTTCACCACTTAAATGATTATTTTCCAAATCCAAGCTGGTCAAACTTGACAAGTTTCCAAACTCTTCTGGTATCTCACCAGTTATACCACTTCCTTTCAGTGTACTGCATGTAGAACACACAGGATATATTATGATTAACTTTAAATTTGTAAAATGAACTGTTTGCTCCAATGTAGTCAATACATACAGTGTTGTAAGAGTCTTCAGAATTCCTATTCTAGGGGACAAGGTTCCAGAAAAGTTCATGGATGATAATGTTCTGCAAACAAGAGTGTAGTGTAAGCATCTGTTTGTAAAAAAAAATTAAGTAAATTAAGACATTAAGATTGCAATGATGACTAAATACCATAAGAAAATGGTATTAGCATGCATCAAAAATTAATTTGAAAAAAGAATAAATTGGACACCACTTACACAGATTTTACATAATTGTTACTATCACAAATAACATTTGACCAAGTGCATGGGTTAACTTGATTTTGATTCCAATCTATCAACTGATTGGCTGACGCATGCAATGAAGTCCTCAATGCATATATATAGTGCATCTCCTGAAACAGAACATGTAGATTTTGACAATCTAATCTGCAAATAACAACCTCCCCTCTGTATAGAACTAGTTTACGTTAGACATCACACATTCAAGCACAAATTGGTCTAAGTTCCATGAGACTTACTACACTAATTTGATAATAGTTTATTACAAAAAAAAAAAAATTATAACTACAACTATATCATAGCTCAATGCAGTGTCTAAAAACGACGCCTTAATATTTAAAAGCTTTTTAGAAAAAGGAAGAGGAAGTAAAATACAAGTTTGTTTATAATTATTAGTCAAGAGTCAAGATAATTAATACTACGTAAAAAGGAACGGTTAGGAACACCCAGTAGAGTCAAGCGTGAGTTTTGAGTATGTCCTTCAACATTTGATTATTTATTCATGTTGAATGTTGATTGTTGAATCCATCAACGCAACCGACACGGAGTCCCCATGCTCTTATTAATATTACTCAATACCAACCAAACAGACCGTTATTAGCAGCAAAACGTATTTTAAGCCCTTGAATTTATTCTAAAATCTCAGTTAAAATTTTAAATTTTTATTAAAGTAAATAAACCCTTAAATTTGACAATTTAAATAATTTAACTTTTTTTCTTAGGATGAACTTAATGCATATTTGTGTT